AAAGGTTGATGATAATGGATATGGAGTATCTTACATCATTGTCGGTGAAGATCTCATCAATGTCCATGTATCATGCAAATTCTCCGGCTGAGAGACAGTGAGTCTGGACTAGTGGTTTTCCTAGAAGGGGAGAGGATGATGTGCTGGGGAGTAAGATACCTTGGTGATTGAGTAGGACATCAGTGGTATAAGTAGATAATTTTAGGTTACAGTCTTATCCCCCCCCCCCCCGCCTCCCACTCCCAGTAGAGTGCCAACAGAGTACACACTGTTTGGTTTTAGCAAAAAGGTAGCTTTAAAGCAAAAAAAAAAAAAAAAGACCATCTGTAATGTTGTAAATATGCAGCCATCTTTCTCAACTTCTGGATAAATGTTAATGGAAAGAAATACGCTATGGTAAATGGTGCCAACAGAGTACACACTGTTTGGTTTTAGCAAAAAGGTAGCTTTAAAGCAAAAAAAAAAAAAAAAGACCATCTGTAATGTTGTACATATGCAGCCATCTGTCTCAACTACTGTATAAATGTTAATGGAAAGAAATACGCTATGGTAAATGCCAGATTTATCATGGCCATTATTGTCCAGGTGCTGGGCATGTTTGATGCTGTCTAATCACCTACGACTCCCTGGCTGATTTCATGACACACTTCTTCCCCAGATTCAATTACTGAGTGACTCAAAGGGTTCTTTCATGAGTTGTTTTCCCCTTGTTTGAGTCTTCTAAAAGGGCGAAAGTGATGCATGTTAAATTTCAGGTGCTGGACTATGTAGATGATCCTATCTTATGGCAGCAAGAAGTAGGGTATAAATGGCTGAGTTCTCTCATTGCACTAAGTCACATTTTTATGAAGCATGATTTGTTGAAGAAACTATGGTGGGGTGGGTTTATATGCTGTGCAAAGCCACAAACAAGCAAATTACTTATGATTATGTGTTGTGTGAACCCAGATAATGTGGGTGTATAGAGAGAGATGAGGTGTCCTGCTCTCCTGAATACCCAGCCAGTTTGGCTGGGGAAAAAAAGCACAAAATATGAAGGTCTATCTGCTTTCCAATGTTGATCCCTTACTAAGATTATACAATCTGAATCTTGCTTGGATATTTGATCTACAGGTAGTCCCCAGTTTAAGAACAAGTTCTATTCCCAAGATCAGTCCTTAAGTCAAATTTGTATGGAACAAATTATTATATAATATTGTATAAGTAGTATTGTGTAATGAACTTGAATTCCACTATAATAGGCTCCATTCTTAACTATGGGTTGTCTGTAACCCAGACTGCCTGTATTTAATGCAAAGTCAATGCTTTGAAATTTCACTAGTGAGTTACAGATATTCCATTTTCCTAGCTAAATTTATCTTTCTTCCTCTTTCCTACAGGATGCACACCAATTTGGGCTTAATATCCAGAAAGCCATGAATTATATCTTGGTCCTTTTCCAAATGAACAAAAAAGGCCCTGCCACAGCTGGCCAGCGATTGAATAAATACCAGCAAGATTGTACAGTTAGTTATCAATGACGCATGTTGAGTGTA